TTCTTATGTGATTCTCCTGTTTCATCATCTGTGTGCTTCTTCCCTTTTCCCCCTTCTCCATTTTCAAATTTCTTTGATTTCAAGTTCTCCTTTACCTTTTCCTGGGTTTAATCTAAAGTTATGGAGCAAAGTAGCAGGAGTCAAAATTGACAGCAAAGTGAGCACACAACAAAGCACACACATTTAACAGCTTTTCCCTCCTCTTGCAGTCCTTCGCTTGAACAAGATAATAACAGAGTCTGGAGGAAAAATCTTTGCTACCAATGCAAAAAAAGCTGATTTTGATGGTACAGTGGAAAAATGTAAAGAGGCTGGAGGCTCTATTGCCACTCCAAAGAGCCCTGGAGAGAATGATGCCATTCTGTACTTTGTGAAATATTTTAACACCTACGTCTACCTGGGGATAAAACAATCCCTTATTCCAGGAAGGTTCCAGCTCCTGAACGGTTCTCAGCTCAGCTATACTAACTGGTATCCAAATGAACCTTCTGGCAAAGGGGAGGAGGAGTGTGTGGAGATGTACACTGATGGCACTTGGAATGACAAGAAGTGTAACAAGAATCACCTTATTGTCTGCCAGTTTTAGTGCTTCCCTTGCTGCTCTCTGGAATGTGCTTCCCTATCACTTGTGTCTGCCTTTGTAGCTAGTGAACTTAGATAAAGCAGCATGAAAAAATAAAATGCATTCTTTCCCTGTCTGATTTGTCTTTTAAACAAGTGCCAGCCATAAAGAGGAAACTGTATAATGAAAGCAGGGGCCATTTTGTCTGTTTGATAATCATTGCCCACTGAGTGTGTTAATACTGCTGCATATGGGTTCCTACTGCTGTTAGCCTGCTGACTTATTACAAGAACAAAAATTACAGTTCTTGGCTGCACATCTAAAGTGACTTGCAGCCACAAGGTCTTCCAGTACTCCTTTACCCATGAACCTTCTACTTGTGCGTATTTTGATCCCTTTCTGTAAGTTTCTCTCACCAAAACTCCCCATTCAGACTCTCTGCTCAGCCCACAGTGCTTTGGCCACCCTCACCCCCAACAGGTGCCCTAAAGAAGGCACAAGCAGTGCAGCTGGGGTGGCACAGAACCACCCTCCTTATATTTCCCATGGGAAAACTTCAGAGTCAGCAGGGCTTTAGCCTTCATGCACCTCAAAGGTGGTGACCAGAAGCCAGCTGTTCAGAATTCCTAATACCTTTCCTGACTCAAGGAGCACAAGAAGACCAAGGTCCCCTGGCACATGGGATGTGTGTGGAAGAAAACACAGGGGAGACAGCAGGAAAATTACTGGGCCATTGTGATTTAGGGAAAGTCAGCAGAGCCATGACATGGCCAATTTTTTTAGGCTATATTGTCATGAGATTCAGATACAGCTAATTTTGGGCACCACAGAGGTGCTTGTCAGACCCTCACTGGGATTCCCACAGGGCCATGGTTTGAGGATGCCAAGTGACTCAGCACTCATTGCAGAAGCTGCTCAGTCTCATCCAGCTCACCATCTCACCATCCAGCTTAAGTTTAAGGATTAAGAGAAATCTTTCTCAGCTTGGGTCTGTTCAGCTACTGAAGGTGAGGATTCCCCAAGTTTTGATTTACAGTTGTGCAGCACAGCTGCACACTCAGAGATGTCTGATTTGGATTTTCCCTTTCTGCAGGGCAGTTGACTTCAACATGAGGCAATGAAAGCTCTTCATCAGCTCCATGGCATGGTGCAAAGGCTGACTGAGCATCTGGGGGTGCCTTTATAAAGCCAAATTCCTGACTATGAGCCACAGTCATTCCCACTGTGTTAGTCTCAGCTTGGTCACAGAAACCTGAGCAAGGACACGCCCAGCTCTAGAGCCAGATCAGCTCCCCTCACCCTCTGCATGACAGGGAGACAGAGCAGCCAAAGTGTGGAAGGTAACAGGGGAGGGAAGGTGTGCTCACAGCTTGTGTGAACCTCTGGGCCAGCAAAAAGGCTGCCTGGACCTTGTAGCTGTGCAAATCACTGTAATTCCAGAGCAGCAGCCTGCCATGCACAACATTCCTGCGCCGGCTTAAATTCAATGACAGGATTATTTTGGGCACATGGTCTCACCACCTGCTCTGTGACAAGGAAGGGGTCTTCCTGGCCTCTTTCAGCCCTCTGCTTGATGTCAGGGCCTGTGAAACATTCTTGCTGTTGTTCTCTGCTAACTAAGCTGCTTGTCTTTTAGGGATTAGGAAAATCAATGCAACAAGGTTGGTGTCAAACCTAGACACCTTTCTGCTTGAGCAGCCTGGTGCCTGCAGGTGGTTCACCTCTACAGCTAGGCTCAATTATTCACTCCAGCAGTGTTTAAATCCTTCATCACCATGCATACAAATAGGACCCTGTTTCCAAGAGCTCTAAAGTAATCTCAACATATGCAAAGATAAAACTTTTGTGAGCAAAGTCCTTTTTATCCATGCATCTCTTTGGCATGTAAGGAGAGCTACAAGGTGTTAACAAATGACTTATTTCTGGACAGCAACGCCAAAATATAAACTACTGAATCCCATATTAGATAGACTCCTCTGTTAACCCAGTGGAAACAGGTATGTAGAGGGGAAATGAGGACTCAGGAGTCTGCATGGCTCTGTTTCACTTTCAAACTCTGTTTTTATTCACAAACACTTTACAGCTCACCAGCATCTGTCTGCACCCATCAGCTCACCTGCCCAGTCTGCAACCTTGCATGACTCCTGTTGTGAAATTAACTCTGCCACGAGCACGAGGAAACAACATCACAAGCATCACCTCAAATAGTAATTTTCCACTCATCACATTCCAGTAAAGTTTAAGAAATGTACAGTGATTAACATCAGCCCGAGAATGAAGCTGGACACACAGCCCACCATCAGCAAACATTTAAAGCTGTGGTAAGTTTTTTTATTCTATCCTGCTACTCTCCTGGGGGTCACAGAGTTATTTCAAAATTAAAGCTATTTGCAGGTGTGAGTGGAAGAAAGCAGCTACCTTCAGTAGGTACTGGGATGAGGACACACAATCTCAAAGCAAATGTTTGTCACCCTGCCTGAAGCTGCCAGCTCCAGCAACCCTGCTGACAGCAGGCAGGTCTGGAAACAGCAGCCTTGCCCTGAAAGGCAGATTGGCTCAGCATTTGGGCACCAAATTTATTTCCTGAATCTGAATGAGGTGGCTGTACAGCATCCTCTGATTTGTAGAAAGACAGAATTTCCCAAGGCTAGCAAGCATTTATTTCAAAAGCTGTTTTCTGAAATATTTTTGACCTTATTTTAAAAGCATAATCCACCCTATCCTAAATCTAAATATTAGTTGCGCTTTTAAAAACTGCCACTATTGGACTTGTATTTGCTAGTACTTGTGGACATTCTGGACCACCCAGCATGCTGACAAGCCAAACTCTGTGATGTTCAATTTGCAGTCAATGGCATGCACTTTCCCACTTCTGACTGTAGGACTACTAGTGCCACCACTAGCATTAAGTGAAGTTAAAATTGTATTAATCTGAAGATTTATTAAAAACAGGATAAACAGATTTCTCAGAAAGCAACTTAGCAGAAATTCGATTTTAGCAAGATGAAATATTAGTGTCACATATTGAGAGACGTGGAAGTCACTTGTCAAGTTCTGCAGGGAAAAGTGTTACTGATTCTGCCTTGTATAGTGGAAAATACTATTAAATTATTCCACCCATCCCCCTGCCAAGAATTGGTCAGAAAATAGTTTTGAATCTATAAAAATATCCATTGTGTGAAAAACTATTAACAACTGTTATTTTCTGTGGAAATACCCTACTTAATATTTTTCTCTGCTTTGTAAAAAACTGAAAAAACTATTCCTGGTTGTGTGGCTTTGAGGTCTAAAGGGACATTCTTGCAATCTGAAGCTCTGTACATCCCTTTGGATGCATCCACTCCAGCACAGACCACTCCACAGATTTCACTCTTCAGTTTTTAAGGCAGACAGCAATGAAATCCACAGATTTCACTGTTCAGTTTTTAAGGCAGGCTGCAGCTTGGCCTTCACATCTCCTGTCAAGAGGCAGCAGTGTGTTCAGGCAGCAGGGCCACTTCTCAGGGACTGTGCAGTGCCACCTCCACAGCAGCATGGAGAGGAGCCAGAGCTGCCTTAGCAAAGCCTCTGAAGAGGTTCTTACGTGCACTTTATATAACAGATACTGCAGCAGCAGTATCTTTGTGTGTGACTGAGCAGCTCTCAGGTGTAGATAATAAAACCCCTCCCCACATAAACACTTATCTTCTACACCTGTTTGTAGAAGACATTGGAAATTCAATATAGTCCATGTGGTTTTATCTGATATCATTTATAGCAAAATCCAGTGGTATTCCTTACCTAATAAAATACTAAAAATTGTATAAAGATACCACTTATAATCAATATTTAATATTTCAGATATATTGTTTTGTATTTTATACAAATTTTTATATTGTTATGTACTATTGATTGTGGTTTGCCTGAGCATAGCTCTGGGTTTTCAAATATTGAAGTAAAGCTAAGCTGTTAAGTAGCAAGTGGGCTGTTGAATATATATATAGGTGGAAAAGAGTTGGGTGTGTGAATGCCTTGGATCTGCAACAAACTGAGGGGCATCAGCATTCATACTCTGAAGGCTGCGCATGTTGTTCACAATAATCAGTCTGAATGAGTTACTTAATCAGATTACTCCCTCGTGAGTAAATAAGATGATTTACAAGCAAAGCCCAAGTGGTTTTCTGGTGAAAAACGGGTTCTCATTTTTCACTGAGTGGCTGTGCCCTGCAGCAGGCTGTGCAGGGTGAGGAGCTCTGCTCCTCCTGCGGAACTGCGGTCAAGGCAGTGCGGCTGCCTCGGGCAGGTTTGTGCCGCTTTAAGAGCACAGGGAGAGGCGGTGGAGTCACAAACACGGCCCTGAGCTCCTGCAGACTGCCCTGGGGCTGGCACAGACCGGCAGTTTGTCTGTCCTGCCCTGCCCTGTCTGTCCTGTCCAGCTGAGCAGCCCCGGCAGCGCAGGATGCGCGCCCGGACGGAGCCGCCGCAGCCCCGGGGCAGCGCAGCGCTGGGGCACTGAGCAGGTGAGGGTGCCCAGGACACAGCCCGGGGGGCACTGAGCAGGTAAGGGTGCCCAGGACACAGCCCGGGGGGCACTGAGCAGGTGAGGGTGCCCAGGACACAGCCCAGGGGGCGCTGAGCAGGTGAGGGTGCCCAGGACACAGCCAGGGCACTGAGCAGGTGAGGGTGCCCAGGACACAGCCCAGGGGGCGCTGAGCAGGTGAGGGTGTCCAGGACAGTCAGGGCACTGAGCAGGTACGGGTAACCAGGACACAGCCCAGGGGGCACTGAGCAGGTAAGGGTGCCCAGGACACTGAGCAGGTAATGGTGCCCAGGACACAGCCAGGGCACTGAGCAGGTAAGGGTGCCCAGGGCACTGAGCAGGTAATGGTGCCCAGGACACAGCCAGGGCACTGAGCAGGTAAGGGTGCCCAGGGCACTGAGCAGGTGAGGGTGCCCAGGACACAGCGAGGGGCACTGAGCAGGTGAGGGTGCCCAGGACACAGCCAGGGAGCACTGAACAGGTGAGGGTGCCCAGGACACAGCCAGGGGCCTGCTGCCAGCTTGGGAAGACAAAAATATCCAACAAATTAAACTTCTTTGGTGCCTTTCTATAAAAGTAAGGGGGGGTAACTAAATTGTTTCTAATTTGGGTAAAAGGTTGTCAGCAGGGAAGAGTTGAAGAATACAGTCACGTATATATTCCTAGTCCCATAATCAATTTTAAGTGCAAAATAGTTTGCTAAATGGTTAGAATTATGTCTGTAAGTGGACTGCATAAGGCAATCCTTTATGTCTCCTTTTACAGTTTGCACACCTCCAGCTTGTGTAAGTTTATTCAAAAGTGTTTAAATATTTCAGGACAGGAAATGTCTGTGACTCAGATGTAGCTATGTCCTCACTGCTACACATTCAAGAATCAGAAACCTAACAGATACATGCCAGAATGTGTTATCTATGAGAGAACAAAACCATCTTTTTAGACAAAATACAAAAATGTGAACTTGTATGTCCAGAAAAGTGTGATTTAAAAAACAACTGAGTAACTCCTCTTGCATTTTTAACCTTCACTGTAGTCTCCTGATTACGATTACCTTTGGAATTGAGGTGAAACTAAGGGCTTGATCAGCTTAATCACAACAGTTTGCTATGCTAGTTTTGTCTATTAAATAGTCTGTCTTCATCATAATTTTTGTTTTAAAAAAATCTTCTCCCAAGTTTCTTACATTTAATTTCTGCACCCAATTTTCACATTAAGAGATTTTAAACTTGATTTGGATCCTGCAGTGCCTTTACTCACTGAAAGATAAATACATACAGATTTGACTTTAAAATAATCAGACTAATCTGCTTCATGCCTTATAAAGGCTGAAATATTTTAAATAATGAATACTGAAATATTTTAATTAATACTTTAGTTACATATAGAGGGGGATATTTATAACAAACTTATTCAGTGAAATTTCTGTTAATATTTTAATGATTCTGAGCATTTTTATACACTCTTTGTTTAAAAGGTTTGGCCCTCTGCCTACCAAAGCAGCATTATTAGATCTTTCTAAGGTTTTACATAATTGTAATGCAGCCTTTTCTCATAATTGTAATGCAGCCGAACTCATTGATTTGATTTCTTGTTTTTACAGGAGTTCTAAGTGACAATTACGACTTGCAGTGTAGTTATCTCTCGACCATCACCCTCTTTTTGAGTCCATCCCTGTGCCGGACACCCAGGTGTGAGAATTTTTCCTGTTCCTACCATTCGGTGCCTGTGTTTGCAGCCCAGAGTCAGGGAGGTGGCAGAGGAATGCATCCACTCTCCTGCAGCTGCCCGGGGCTCCAGGGCACAGCTCAGTGACCTCCTCAGAAAGCCAGCCTGGGTGACTATCCTGGAGTGCTAACAGGAAGCTGGCAGCTCACCCAGGGCACCCAGGAGCACTTGTTCTCCCCGCTTGAAGGGCAAATATTTATATCACTGACTGAGTGGCAAATGAAGCAGAACAAGCTCATTGTTGTTGTTGGTTTACCCCTTTCAGCTTGTTCTGCCTTTGGAGTAAGTGTGTGCCTGGGAGGAGAGTGGTCACAGCCCTACAGGGTGGGCAGTATTTCTCAGCTCTGGTTTTGCTAAAGCCACTGGGAGCCCTTCTTTGTGTGTGACTGAACAGCTCTCAGTGTAGGTAATAAACCTCTCCTCACATAATCTTCTACACCTGCTTGTAGAAGACACTGGAAATTCAATATAGCCCATGTGGTTTTATCTGATGTCATTAAAAGCAGAATCTAGTGGAATTCCTGAAATATTTTAAAATATTAAAATTGTATAAAGATATCACTAATAATCTTTAATATTTCTGATATATTGTTTTGTATTTTATACAAATTTTATGTTGTTTTGTACTATTGATTGTGGTTTTTTTATCAATCTGACTGTATTCATCTCCACCAAAGAACTGAGCCCTGTCACTTGATTTCACAGAAACAAATCTTTGACTGACATTAAGTGCTCTAGCTACCAATCAGAATATCTTCCTAGAAACAAAAGAAAATATGAATATTCACTGATATAAAACAGACCTTGCAGACTTCAATCCCTTCTGCCATTTGATGGCTGCATTTACAAATTCACTGGACTCCCAAAATTTTAAAACTTGTTTTTCTGTTCCCAGAGTTTAGCCAGCAGTACCAGATCTGTGAGTTTCCAGGCACAGAGTAAAAATTATTATATGATAGCCAATAATTCTGTAGTTTGGAGGCCAATAAATAATACAAATATTTGTTAATTCAGATACCAGTTCCTCTTTCAGCCCTATGCAATATATTTTCAAAGACATCTCAAGTGAGAGCAGGTTACAGACAGGCAGGCCACCACCTCCCACAAGCCTCTTGCTCAAGGGAACTTCTCAAATTACCATAACTGAAGTTACTGTAAGATTCACAGGGCTGGCTTGAACCTTCACACCATTTCTGTAGACTGCAAATAAGCCTTTTTTTTTCTTATAGTATTTCTGCCTTCTGCATTTGTCTTCATTGTACATTGAGGAAGTGCAGTTCCCCCTCCCAGATGCAATAGTGGGATAAATATATCTGGGGGTTTTGTAAGGTTTTCCCTACTCTTACTTCTCCAAAATCAAGATATCCATGTGTAATTTGGAGGGGCAGGGGGAAACAAGATTAACAGAGAAAAAGGCAGGAAAAAAGGACCACAAAGCAAGTCAGGAACTGAATTATTTAAAGGAGTTAACTAACAAAGACATTCAAATTAGCAGACAGGAGACTAATACAGCTTTCGGGTGTGTGGGTTCTGGCAGAGGACTTGCAGCCCTTATGGCTTTCAGGTGTGAGGGTCTCGTGGCAGGAACTGCACTGAGCACTGCATTCCTTAAGACATCCCTCTTAACACTCCACAACCTGTGACATTCCCTGGGCAGCAGCTAAAGGCAGCACTGAAGCAGCACAAGGAAACTCCCTGAGCAAAAAAAAATCCCTCTCCAGGTTAAAAACAGCCTCAAACCTATCCTCACCCAGCAGCCAGTGCGAAGAGAGGAATAACACCAAAAGTTGCCACAGGAAAAGTGAGAATATGACACAGGCTGATGGGCCCTGCAGCACAGCCCACAGCAGCAGAGCCAGAGGTCAGAGCAGATGAGCACACATAAAATCAAGGAGCTGCTCTGTAGAAAACAGACCCAGAGCACAGCCCACTGCAGGGAATGGGTCTGTGGGCAGCATTCCAGCTCCAGCCACCCTCCTGCCATGGCTGTGTGTCTTCACAGGGGAGAAGGGACAGAGTGCTCCAGGCCCTGAGCCGGGGCAGCTCCAGGCCCTGAGCCAGGGCAGCTCCAGGCCTTGAGCCGGACAGCTCCAGCTGCCTCCTCTGAACTTTTTCTGTGCTTGTAAAGATTTGAGATTAATCCAACTAGAACATGACACAGCAGCCAAGGATCTGCTGATGGATTGCTGGGTTTCATTAAGGATATCATGGGCTCAATCCACCAAGATTTGTTATTAGACATACACTGGTAACACAAACTCTCCTTACAAGCCACAGAAAAAAAATTGAGCTGATCGTAATTTTAACATTGTCATGTACACAATTGCTGGAAATTATTCAAATTTTCCACTCTCCTTAGACATAAATACTCTATCAACCCAGTTTCCATCTTCACCTTTTCATAAAGGTCAGGATTTAGTAACAAAACCCCAGTAAAGCATGTGCTTGGACAAACCTGAGGCCTCCTCTGCTGAGTTGCAGTCCCAATTCCCGCAGTACTGCTGCCCCTCAGGAAACCTCCTCACGACTGGCACAAGGGACTGGGAGAAAAAAACCTCTTCAGGCCCTGGCACCTCATTTACACATGCACTGTACAGCTGTCAGGTGTGTGGGTCCAGGAACAGGACTGGTCACCCTGATGACTTTCAGGTGTGTGGGTCCTGTGGCAGGAATTGCAATGAACACTGCAATCCCTAGGACACACCTGTTAGCACTTAACAGAATCAATACACATTAACTCCTTCCTAAGCACCCTGCTCTTTCTAAAGCCTTGGAAAAAGATAAAATATGCATTCTGATGGCAGTTCAATTTCCAGTTCTCCTTTCCATCATATTCTTTTATTTTCAGTTTTAGTTTTGCTACATATCACTATAACAATAATTTTGTGTAATGATGGTCTAAGTGGGAGAGGAGGACCTTAAAAATCGAAATTGTAAAGAGAAAGGCTTAGCCAAGGGTTAGGAACAGTGCTTTAGGGTGGACAGGGTGTCCACACCAGCATCAACAACTGCAGCTGAGCCAAGGGGGAAAGGCAGGCTGATGCCCACAGAGAGAGAGAAAGGGCAGGAGCTCTTCTGGGGTCTGCAACTCAGGAAATGGGATTATTTTTTGGGCTGAGAAAGGAATAGGCCAAAGAGGCTGACACCCCTATGCTGGCTGAAACAAACACATCTATTCAGAATTAATTCCTATCTGCAAGTAAATAACGCAGCATATTTTTTGCTTTACAGCTTCAGACTCCTGACATGGAGGAAATCATGGTGGAAACAATCCTGGCCCCGTGGGAGATCCTGCTGGTGATTTTTGCTGCAGTGCTGGTGATGAGTGTGCTGATGCTGCTGCCCCCAGCTGTGGTGGTGATCTGGAGGATGAGACATGTGCCACAGATCTCGCTGCAGGGCTCCGTGTGAGCCAGCCCTGCTCCAGCACTGCCCTGGCAGCATGGCTCACACCTCTCAGGTCACTCTCACTACCTGTGAGCCACCCCAGAGCACTGCCTCTGCCAGTCTGCTGCTGCTAAGTTCCTGTGAGAAGAGGTTTTTGTGTGATTTTGGGGCCATGAGCTGCAGTTCTCCACACTTTGCCTTCCATGTTCTGGCTGGATTGTAATTACTGCTCTCGGCTCAGCTCCTGAACTGAGTTCTTCTCTTGTGTTACAATGGACTGAAAGAGAAGTAAGGATAATGCAGCACTGTATTCCCTTAATTAATATCAAGAATAATTAATATCCCTCTCTATAGTTACACTGTAAATATTACCAAAGCCCTTAGCTGACTGACACTTGTGCAGATGGGTTTATCCAAAGCATGTAAGATACTCTGGGGAGGCAGTGGTTTAGTCTGGTTGCATTGCAAAACCTAAAAAAAAATAAAATTTCAGAGAATGTTTCAAGAAGTAAGCCTCTCCTGCTTCTGTTGTTTGATCTGGAAACTTAATGGTTTAAAATGGTATTAAGTTCTTTCATTCTATATGAATTTTCCTCTTTCCTCAACCCCCTAGTGCCAGAACAAACCCCATCTTGGGGCTAAAGCAGGAATGGTCCTATGCTCAAACAGGCCAGACACCAACAAGAAGTTAATGCAAACACACAGCAACCATTTACATGAATGAAATTATGCAAATGTACTCTGGGAAATAACACGATTAAATTTACTTTAGTTTTTAACTGTGTCATATTGGCTTATTGACCCAACTCCCTGTCTCATTATAAATAATAACTCAGGTGGTGGGAATAGAACAAAACTTCTTCTCTGCAAGTTTTTGCAGAGAAAAACTTTTTGTTTGAAAAACACCCCAGCAACCCAATCTCCAGCTTAATATCAGGTTCATGACACATGATAATTAAAGCTTTCCAGCCTAATTCTTCCACACTGTGTGACACTATGATTTATGACCCAAAAATGAAAGTTTCTGCTGGTTTACGTATTTTATTTCCTCATGAAATAAAATATGAGTGGCTTTTCTTTTGCTACTTGGTTTGGAATCTCACTAGAATAGAATAACAAAATTGAGAGGAAAAAAATGGGGTTTAGCACCAGTAGAAAAATTACACTGAAAAGTACTCCAGATACTTCATCTGAGCATTGGTTGATAATGATTTGGCTGGAAAGACTTAAAAACCTTATAATTTCATTTTATAGAGATCATTTGCTTGCCATAAATAAATAAATAAAACCCAAAACTCAGTGATTCAAATCTCACTGTTTTTCTTTAAGACTACAGCACTTTTGTCTCCAACACAATGACTTAATTTATTGCCACATGGTTTATAAGCAGCCAAAGCAGCCAATTCATCCCTTTTCTGGTGTAATTATCTGTTCCATTCACTGTCATATGACTGTCTGCCTCTGGGCCCTAAAGCAGCTGGGGTTATTTATGGGGTTTTTTGCTTGTAATGACTCAATTCTGAACCTGAAATATAAGTATGTAAATATATATATTTGAATCATTTATCTGATTAATGAGGTAAAGGCCAATTTTACATCATGTACCACAAAACTATGTGTCTGAGAGATCAACAGAAAGAGGGGAAAGGTAAAAAAGGGAAAGGAAACACAAACAGATGAGTCTGTCTTCAGATCTACAGCTTCACTGTTTGCTCAACAGAAGAAAATTAAAATATTACCTCAAGCACAGATTCCACTGAAAACCAAGCAAGCAGTATCTAAATTTCTTGTTTATATTTCACAATAATTCACATGCACATTGTTTGCTAGCTATATCTCCACAAATAAGCTGGATGTCCAGTGATAAGTTGCCTCTGATCTTCACTTTCACTCAGTGCCAGGTGGACCACGGACAATGGACAGGTTTTCTGCTGCCGGTCTAGGCCCCAGTCAAGCAAGGAAGTGAATAAAGTATTGCACCCCTACAGCCAGGAACTCTTGTCACTTACACAGCTGTAATGGTCATCAGAGCAATAATAGTGATTAACTGGCAGCTGTAAAAGTGAGTGGAAGTACAGCCCCTTCTCAGTAAAGAGGACCCCTGGCACAGGACGATTTCTGACAACAATCAGTATTACTCTCTGCCGAGATCCAGAAGAATTTAAGCCAATAGGAAGGTATCTATTAAAAAGCTGTTTAAAAAATCTTGCTTAATTGCAGCTAGACAAATTAAAGCCATAAAAGTGGTCTTCTCTCTTTGAAACTCTTGCCATGAGCTGCAGTATTAGATTTAGCCTATATATCCATACCCAAAGCTGAGGTCATGACTACGATCTCCAGGCCTTTAACAAAATAAAAGCTGTGTGTTTACAGGTGCTAGCCATGATTTCAGCGCTCTGTCATGCTGTGAGAGGCTGGCTGTGCCCAGGCTGCTGTCAGTAGCCACAGGTGACACAGTCAGCCCCCGGGTCCCGGCTGGAGCCATCGATGCCGCGCTCGGCCAGCTCCCGCAGGAAGGTGTTCAGCTGCTCTGCCTGAGCCTCAGGGAAGGCAGCCGTGTGCTCACAGGTGCTGTTGCTGGGGAAATAGGCAGATTTAGCTCCACTGATGGCCGCCTCAGAGGCTGGAAAAGATCAAAGATATAAATAAATAAATAAGTAAATAAATAAATAAATAAATAAGCAGCTGAATTCACTTAGCTTAGCTTTGTCTTGATCTTTGCACATGTACTGGCATTCCAATTTTCAAAACTAAAGTCTCCAGCTTGGAATAAAAGTGCCCAGATGCATGCTTGCTTTTATTAAGCCTTGGAAAGTAACTAGCAACTGCTCTAGCAGCTAGGCACTGTCAACAGTAAAATATTTTCCATTAAGCATAGGAGAGGTAGGGTGGGCTTTTTGTGTATCTATATGCACATTTGTTTTTAAATTAAGGCAATAACAACAGAGTCATAGAGCCTGCTTTGGGTCACAGATTGAGCAATGGATGCAATGGGAGCAGTCTTACAGTCCCATACAGGGCTGCCATGAAGATGGCAGCACTGCTGGCTGGGGCCCAGCTGCTGGGCTTTATTGGTGTGTACATACAAGTGTTGGCCAATTTGCTGAGATTCTTCAACTATTGTTACAAGATAAACAGATTTATGTCCTATTGCTGTCTGTCTAGTGGGTCACACAACCCTTGTGCAACATGGGGTTTGTGTTAGGGTGACACCAATTCACTGTTTTTTAAAAAAAAACAGGTCCTTCTTCCCACAAACATTTGCATAAATGCCATATTTAGTACCCCAAGAAAAACAGCAGTGCCTTCATGACAGTATTAAAGCTAATGTGTTTTCTTGCTCATAAATTTGCCAGCTCAGCAATGGCTCTCACAATGTCACACATGAGAGGGCTGTCACCAAAAGAGAAACTTTTCCTTCCTCCTATTTTTTTGAACAAAAGAGAGGAAGCCTTGTGTGAACAGATATATCTGAGGAGCACTCACAGCTGCAGACTGCCAGAGCCTTTTCCCCAACCAGCTGCGTGGTCCAGGAGAAGCCCGTGGCATTGCCACACTCCTCATACAGCCTGCTGCTCCTGAGGAACTGGAAGTCATAACCCTTGGGAAACAGGGGAGGGGAGAAAATAAATAAACACTCTCTTAGGGCATGACATGGTAGCTGCAAGGGGAAGAAACAGGGCAGGTAAACACAAACACTACAACCTCTCTTAGCCCTGAGGGATATAAAACAAAGTATAGCAAGAAAATTAGGCTTTACCAAATAAGCAGCTGTAAAGGAAGGAATAGATGCAGCAATATATAAGGCAGGGATGTTACCTGGTTGCACATGGGTTTGCAGTACTGGGTGTTGTCAATGGTCACACACACCAGCCCCCCGTTTTTTGGGGCCACTGGGCGTGGGCATGGAGGTAGCTGCTTGCAAACTTTTGGGTGGATAAAAAGAAAAAAGAAAGAGATCAAGAAAACAATATATCAGAGTGAAAGTGGGCATAAAACTTCCCCTTCCCAAGCAAATTCATTGGCCTGTTTCCACCAGCTGACATCATCAAAGCAAGCATTTTTGTTTGTTTAAAATTTTTTTGTCCCCCTAATTTATTTGGGTTTTTTTTGGCCACAGCTACTGAATCTTCCCCTCACTTGTCGCTGTGACTACAGAATCAGCCCCAGTTACACTTTAGAGGCAGCTCACTGTGGCATTTGCATTCACAGCACTGACATTCAGTGCTATTGTGGCCAAAACTATCCAAATATTTCTTGGAGAAATACGAGTGGCATGCCAGCTCCATGACAGCACAGAAGCTCTGGCTGGAGGGCAGAGCCTGCCCTGCTGGCCCTGTGACTGTGCTGCTGCTGAGCACCAGTGCTGGGGCTGCAGGGACAGCAGGACCCCCTGTTTGTGCTGCTTTGCCTCCCCAACCCCAGTGCTCCCTGATGCTGAGACATCTTTTATATTTTGCCCCTCCTCCCCTAAAGAAATGCAGTCTCTTGGTTCATTCTGTAGTAGAAAAAGTTTCCTCTGTGCTTCTGCTCTGCCCCTCTGTTCAACGCCCAGCAAGTTCAGGAGGGGCCTCACATTGCTCCTGAACAGGGCGCAGCAGATCAAGAGTTTCTTGCAGTGTCCATGCCAGGAAATTGACTGAAGCTTTTTCACCCTTGGCAATGATTTCAGGCATGCATTTTGAAAATTTCTGTGGAGATAGGGGAGAAAAAGTCTAAGTTGAAAAGGAAAGACTTTGGAGCTTTGGTATTAACCTATCTGAGAACATACATAAATAAAGAAGCTCATGTATTTCTAGGTAGCTACTGTTATTTATCTCTCTATATTGCTTACATTCAAGCCACTTTATGTATCTGGAGCAGGGCCAAAGTGGAAAATATATCTACAAGGACACTTTTTGGACTAGCAGTATCAGGAGCAAAGCTGTGGTAAGTCAGATGACACTGATGTTTTTCTGCTCTTGCGTGTGCCTCTCCTCCCCAGCGTGTACTTTGTACATTGCCAAAGCAGTACACGAGTTGTGCTTGCCCAG